GTTACCTAATCATACCTTATCAATATACAAAATATGAATAGATTTGATTTTTCGAGCCTTGCCAAGATATGTCTGATTTTTGCGCGAAGTGGCTCTTAATTTGTAAGATCCCAATTTCAACTTTGCAGTTTATTCATGACTAGGGCCACAGCTTTAAGATGATGTTGATTGCTTTGAAAAAAACTGCCGCACTTTTGAGAAAATCGTCTCTAAAAATGGCAAAAATTACCATGTCAAACCGGCACKGTTAGGTATGCAAATTTCTAAGGCGGCTGGAGATTTTAAGATTTTCTAAAATTAACTCATCTTTTCACCATAGAGAGCTTGTTTAATAGACTTTTACTACGAATCGTCAAAAAAGTCGACAAAGTGAACGTAAAATCTTGCCTTCTCAAAGCCGATCTGGAGGCCAAAACCGAGGGGGGTGGTCAATCTCGCGTAATAAAAATCCCAAGAAACTTTAGATAGCACAGTTCTTCATCTTATCCGATAGTCTAATAATAGCCAAAATACAGAGTTAATCGGACAACCCCGATCTTTTGAACCTGCCCGGTATTTTCTGACACTCACACACACAGAACCCAGCAGGGGAGGGAGGGGGGCAACATACACTGCAATTGAGACACACCGAAGAAACAGTTTTAATTTATCAAAAGGCCTACCAGGATTTGTAGATAATTGACTGATACTGGTGCAGTCCGCTCAATTCTGTCCTTGAAGTCTTACCAGTCATTACCCGATTCTTTGAAATTCTAGTTGAATCCCACAGATATTTTTCTTGCAGATGGCCGGAGAGCACCGATTTATGGAACTGGACTGGTACGTGTCAGATTTTCACAAAGAGAGGTGTAATTATCAGTGATTATTGCTGACATTGATGATATGGGTATCGTTGGGAGTCACAACGATATGTAGTTCCTAAGTTCCTTTGTAAGTTCCTATCTGGGAACATGTGTACTCGAGCTATGTCTTGGTGTGTCCCTACAGTGCAAGGGCATTTGTGTTAGTCAAACTTTAGTTTAGAGTATCACTTATATGCTGATGACACTCAACTCTACATTTCTTTTCCTTCATCATCCTCTGTTGAACTCAATATTGCAAAACACAAAGTTGAAGCCTGTGTTCAYGACATTGACATGTGGATGGTTCAAAATAAATTGAAATTAAATGGGATATTAATGGACTGAGATATTAATGATCTCCTCTCCACGACGTTCTTCTCCATCTTTRGATTCTTTTAGTATTTCTGGTTTTGATGTTTCTCCATCAGCCACTGTTCGCAACATCGGTGTTATTTTTGATAAGAATATGTCACTTGATGCTCATGTAACTGCAACATGTAAAGCATGCTTCTTTCACATTCATAACATTTGGAAAATCAGAAAATCTCTCAGCATGGATGCCTGTGAGACTCTAGTGCACGCTCTAGTGACCTCTAAACTTGATTTCTGTAATTCATTACTGTATGATCTTCCCAAGACAACTCTAAGAAATCTTCAGTATGTTCAAAATGCTGCAGCTAGACTTGTAACTTACTCTTGCAAATATGAGCATATCACTCCCATTCTTAGTAACCTGCATTGGTTGCCTGTTGAGCAGCGTATTCAATATAAAATACTTTTAATCACTTTTAAAATTCTACATGAAAATACTCCTTCTTATCTTTCAAATCTTCTGCATCCGTATGTGCCCGCACGCTCTTTAAGATCTTCTTCATCTAATCTTTTAGTTAAACCTTCTTTTAATCTTAAGCTTTATGGCAAAAGGGCATTTTCCTTCTCTGGCCCTGAATTGTGGAACTCACTACCAAGTGTTATCAGATCTAGCTCTTAAAAAAAAAATTAAAAAAAAAACTTTAAAGACCTGGCTTTTTCAACAGGCATATTAACATTCTTTTGAGTATTTTATAAGATGTAAATTTAAGATTTGTTTTTTTTATATACATTTATATATTAAAAAAACGTATATGTTGAAATGTTAAAAAGTATTGTAAAAAAAATGTATTAGTCAATGTCATTATTATTGTTATATTGTTTACTTTCTTATAAAACTTATTAATAATGCATAAGCTATTGCTCCAATAAGGGCTGACCATTTAATCAGGTGATTGACCTTGTAAATCTGATACAACCACTAGTGGTTGTATCAGATTTACAACACGGTCGTCACCATTGAGACAACCCAACACTAGCAAAGGTCTCAGTTTTAGTGTCGCATCATAGACCTTCACTAGGTTTTGAAGCAATCAAAGACGGATAACAGAACTCGCTTATGCAACAGATGGCTTGCTTTCCATGTGGGATGGATAATTATTCAAAATGTTCTGTGTTGCAGTAAATTGCGCATGCTTAATAGGGACTAAACTCAGCAGTTACCTTATTTGTCATTTTTCGTCATTTATCTCACTGTAATTCATGTTAATTTGTGTTGGAGTTTTATAAGTCGTTTACAACATTCGCGTCCGTGTTGTATGGGAATTACAATCTCTCGCCTGCGGCTCGAGATTGTAATTCCCATACAACACGGCCGCTCATGTTGTAAACTATAC